TCTTTCAGTTTGTGTCTGAAAGTTACTCCTTTGCATGATCTACACATCCATGTATAGAGTTACTTATTTTCAAATTGATTACTTCCTTCCTTTCTTTGGAAGATTCTCTCATTCCCTTTTTTTTGTATCAGATGGAGTAGTAGAAAGCCAAAAACTTTCTTTCCCAAACAAACCAGTATCATTTTCCATAGTATGAAACAAATCCAATCTAGTGAATCTTACGGTATCTTCTTTGGTTCGTTTCATTTTCGAAACGTCTTTAAAAGATGTCAAAAAAAGTTTTGACGAAGGCATATTATAGCTTCAGCTTCAGGAAGAGCTTTATGAGTATTCGGGTTCGCAGTTCGAACGATTCTGGAATGGTACAAAACAGTTACCTAGGTGATTATTGATTCTAGATTTGCGCAAAACTTTTCAAGTTTTATCTGTTTGACCGCTACCTGTTGATTTTTCAACTCCTTTCCACTGATTAGTGAAACATTTTATTGTTAAAAATACTTGAAATTTAGGCAATAGCAATAAAGATTACCCATTCCACACCTATATGAAATTCTCCATTCACATTATGAAAAACGAAAAAAAAAAACCAAAAAATTTTTCCCAGGAAAAACGACTTTCGATCAAAATTTGATATCCTGATATACTAACGCCATCTTAGTGACTCAATTGGTGACTCAATTCAACATTACAAAGAGTTTTCCAATGATGATTCAAAATTTTATGAACTGATTCATAAAAATAGTTTGTATTGATTCATTTGAAAGTAGATCAGGATGAATCAAGGAGAGAAAAGTTATGTAAGAACAATATAACCAAAAGGAAGATCAGTTTGATCTTCCTCTTGAAGATGATCACTTGGTGATCAAAACACGTGTCGAGGTGTTAAAATAACGGTTTGGTGTTGATGAAAAACTCCAGTAATAGTCATTACTACACCAAAAGTTCCAAACAGTGCATCACAAGTATTTTCCAGTAGTGTACAAAAATTATTCTCTTTTGATAATAAAGTGCCAGTTTTGAATGTGTTTATTCAAAAATGAAAATACCTGAATATTTGAAATCTAAATATCATAATTGATGGAGATTAATAATGCTTTATGGCATTCAATCACTTTTTAGAGTTCCACTCTGAGTTCATCTCTATATCAGAACAACTGGATAGATTGTAGTAAGAGGTTTAAACAATGCATGATAATAATGATGTGCCGTATGCAGAAGAAACTGTCTATGACTATTGGAAAATTTTCTCCGCTAACATTGAACACATTTCTTTCTGTGAGTATGAGCTAATTTACCTGTTCACAAATGAATTATGAAACTTTTGTTCTAGGTCGTAAAGGGATCTTTCTCTTATTGTGCAGTATTTCAACAAGTCAATAAGTAGTGATGAGAATAATAAAGCTTTTATTGAGGAAATTGTTCTTAGTAATATAGGTTTCTAGAAAGTGCAATAAATCTTGTATTCATTATTTTTGCAATAATCTGTCTTCTAGTGGATAGATGCATACAAACTAACACAGTAACACATTCATATACTTTTTTTCAAATAAAACTCGTATATAAATAAAATAATTGAAATGAATTATTCAAACAATACTTTATTGTGAGATTTCCACTAAATTGTTTTACAAAAACAAAACACGTATTTCGTCATACACGAAAANTTGAGATGAGAGCGAGCCAAGGTATCAACACAGGTGAAGTCCCAAACCAAAAGTTTTCCATGTCTCCAAGGAATGAGAGACATTCCATCAGGACGTTTTCCATCCTCTCCATCCATAAACCAAGAGGTTTAATCACAGAAGGGATATTGGCTGTTGACAATGCTCGTTTAATTATGTCATCCACTGCATCATGTCGGGAGAAGCGACCTGCACTAAATTTACAACTGAGGCCATGAGTACCATTTTCATCAACAACGAAACCGCAATAATCTGTCTTCTAGTGGATAGATGCATACAAACTAACACAGTAACACATTTATATACTTTTTTTTCAAATAAAACTCGTATATAAATAAAATAATTGAAATGAATTATTCAAACAACACTTTATTGTGAGATTTCCACTAAATTGTTTTACAAAAACAAAACACGTGTTTCATCATACAATGGCTTCTTCAGGCGTGTCTTATCTTTACTTTACTTAACTAGGTCTTCACTGGTCTTTACTTTACTTTACAATGAAAAGACACGCCTGAAGAAGTCATTGCCATTGCGTGTCTTTACTTGTATTCACTTTACTTTACTTTGTGAAGATATGCCTGAAGAAGACATTCTATGACGAAACACGAAAATCTCACAATGAAGTGTATTTTAAACACGATATGGATATCCATCAAGTATCAGCCGATTCCATCAAATTGAAATAAAGCTCACCCATGATTCTCCAGTTCTTAACACAATGCGATTTTTTCATTTCTTCTCCCCCTACTATGTACTGTACAACTTCACTATGGTGTTATTACTTGCTACGTGTAGTATTCCATTTGTTCTTTGTTGAAAAATCAATAGATTTTTTGAAGAACTTCTACTTTCCGATTGTCCAACCACTATGCCACCGAAGTGAATAATATTTTAACTGTATTAGAATTGTAGTGTTCCTGCAAATCCATACTCATCTCAATATTTTTTCAATCTCAAAATTAATCCACCCATACAGTCCGAAAATAGGGTCTCTTGAGTCCGGCCAATTACACTAGGAGCTGGTCTTTGTTTTTTTTTCAAAACCCGATCACCTGGAAAACTCACTGGAACGAAGCTGATCCCCATCATTTTTTTACTTATAATTTACGCTAGTGGCGGTTATTACAGTGTCATTAAATACGTAGCATTCTTTGAGTGCTCTTATCCTGTACACGGGTGCACACATACATTCTTGAATTCACATTCTGTTCCGATTTATAAAATGAACATGTTGAAGTATTCAACTTTGCGATTATTCCGGAGCAATTGGGTGTCTAATTGGGAAACTTATCAACTTTGACACCTGAAAAATTCAACATTAATTTGTTGTTCTATTCCAGCATTTCCAACATAAACGTAGATTACCTTTACTTCTTCCTGTTTATTGGAAAAATATACAATATGGGTTGGACTAAGGAGCAGTGAGTTTTGAAAAGGCTGGTTATTTACTACGAAAATCACAAATTACAAATTTTCCATGCAAGGAACCGCATTTAAAACAGTGAATCCAAGCTCGCACATGCTTCGATTTCTATCGTGAAGCAACAGTTAATCATTGTAGAAACAGGTTTCAACATATTTCAAGTTCGTCAAATAGATTTCCAATCTGTCTTATATAATTGCAGATATTATGTCATCGATGTCATTGTGTAATGAGAGAGTCGGATATCACTGAATCAGTACCAAACCCTGTGCAACTCAAATATTCACTAAAACTTGATTTCATCTTACTATTCTCATTGTATTCATCATTAGTTTTTATCACTTGGAAATTGAACTTAGTTTTGAAAACTCTATTTATTTTGATTCAAATGTAATTATTCTACTCATATTAGTGAATATTTTTAGAAAACTTTTGAATATTTCTCATTGCGAAATTTTCTGGTATCAGTATTACCTTCAGAACTCCACTCGAATCCCTTGGAGTTTTTTGCATAGAGTAATGCTTTGTCGCGTTCTCTAATTGGACTCATGCAATATGACTGCCAGAATTCAACTTCGCGACAGCAAACAAATTGCCCCTCATCAAAAATAATTTGTTTTTTCAGGTATAGTGACGAAATACGGTCTTCCAACAGTCAATCACTAAAGTCGTCTATGCAAGTCATCAACTTGAAACCCGTGGTCCATAAGTGACAAAAAATTGAGGAATAGAATAAAAGTTCCTCCTCTCATGATTCGAATATCTCAATCTCAGGAATGGATGTCCATGAAAGTACTGTTCAACAATGTTTACATTGCAACCAATCGAAAATTCTGACCAGTAATGAGTTTTCCTCCTACATCAGCACTTGTGAGAATGTTAACTGAGCTCACACTGTGGAATTATGAACTCCAACTGCTATGTTATGGATTTCACTCATTTATGATCCATCTCGAATGAAATCACACTAACCGTTCTTATAACTCGAACCAATAAGTATACTTTCTATGTAAGACCAAGTTATAGCAACTATTACAGATTATATATTTTGTTCATTTGTTTATCATTCAGTATATATTTTTTGTTCCATTTAGTTAGCTATCAATGAGATATGTTTATAAAAAAGTTGTATTATTATTATTATCAATTTACACAATTCCATATCGACTGCTGCAAATTTACTGATGCAGGAATATTGAGAACCATTATCAAATATATTACGAGTACTCTAGATTTAAATTTTTCATTTGCTTTATAATCACCATCTACAGAAAAAATTCTTCTTGCGTTTGATTCGACGAATTCTCGATAGATGTAAATGCAATTTGTATCGAGAAAACATTCACTTCTTCAGACTGAAGGTATATTACAAAACAATATAAACTTCAGAATCTGATTTAGAGCTAATCTACAATGGCATCAATAATCTTCTTTCGTTGCTCCCAGATAATTTCAGGAAGTTTTGGTTTATTGAATGACCTCTTCGAGAAAAGTCGCTATATTTTCCAACACACTTTACTGACGTTTACAAATAGTGGTTTTGAGGCTTGTAGTTGAGATTCGAGACGATCATGAAGAGTACTAACTTTGAACCTTTGATTAACTCAAATTATCGTGAGCAAAACAAGATTCATGGCTCTCAGTCACCTTCTCGAATTTTTGATAAAGTGGTTTACAGCCTCATACCGCAAGTGATCATCATCGTGTATCCTTATTCCAAAAAGAATAATCGTTTCTTGATATTTCCATCATATCTTTGGAAATCAATCATTAGTAGTTTCACTTATGATGTACTGTTTGGAACCTTTGGTGTGGTAATGAATATCACTGGAGTTTTTTCCCAACACCAAATCGTTATTTTTACACCTCGACACGTGTTTCGATCACCAAGTGATCATCTTCAAGAGGAAGATAAAACTAGAAACTTCTCAAATCTAAAGCTATTTATGCTATTCAGGTACATCATACAGGTAGGTAATCAGTAATACCACCCATACAAGTGTACCACCCTAAATTAATTCTACAATTGGCCGTTCTATTATTTTACAATATGTCCTTATGTATGTTTAAATGTTACAGCTATATATAGAACAATTTTCAGCTATATAAAGCTAGTTTCACAATATTGCCTATCTAAATATATTTACAATGTTTTTTTTGTAGTAATCAGTAGACCCAACAATATTATTTCAACAAGCTATATAGTATGCTATTTGGTATTGGTCCGTTATCGTTATTCATAATATTATTATGTTTCCTTACTTTTACACTCTCATAGGCATCTAGTTGCCTGTTGTTGTTAAATTCTTACTTACTTACCTACTTACCAATCTTAATGAACTGAAGTCTATGGAATGGTTTTGTTGCAAAATATGATGGGCGACTGCTGATTTTTCAGGTCTTCCATATTTTAAGTGTGCTATGTGTTTCTTATATCTCACTTTAATAGATCTTTTTGTCTGTCCATAATATTTTGCATCGCAGTCCTTACATTCAATTACAGACTTTTCCGAATTCTCGTCTTTTTCTTTTGGACGTCCCAAAAGGCTCTACATTGTATGACTTGGTGTTGGGAAAAAAATCCAGTAATATTCATTAGTAGTTTCAAATTGTTATTGCTAGTAACAACAGTTTTCGTTGTTAGTAGTTTGTTTCTCTAATTTGAATTTTGCGATTTTAAACTGTTCAAGTATTTCATCAGTTTCTTAAAATTTCATTTGAATTCACGTATACAAAATATTTATCCAGAAAAGTATCGTATGGTGCTTATTCTCGTACCTAATTGGTACGCGCAAAATTGACAGCATTCCGCATGCTCTTACCTCATCTGAATTAATAAATATTCATTCCACCAAGCTTCAGGCCCTATAGTCTGGTTCACATGTACTTTTTTTTGTGAAATTCTACAGACAGATCCAAAAATTACGATCAGGGTGTCATTGGATTCGTATTTTTACCTAGACAGTTCAAGGGAAATTTTTTTGGAATATCTCGAAAAATTTTCAAAATTTTGGAACTTCGATAAGAGACCTGAAGAGATCAATAAATTTGCTCAAAAATAGTCTCGACTCCCGAAACTGTATATCAATTATTTATAATTTCTACAGAGCCCTAAAAATAGAGCCAAAAACGGGTAGTCTGGCTTCCGCTCGCATTCTGTCACTCTGACATAAAACCAAAAAAAAAGCATTCAAACATATTAAATGCGAATATTAAGAAATAAAAAAGTGTATGTAATGTTGGGATACATTAATAAGCAATAATCCGCAGTCAAAAAATTTTTGCTCAATGTTAACATTTGTTAATTAATTGAATTTTTTTGAATTGAAAGTTAATATAAAAACCCCTATAATTATTAAATGAAAACCTTGGGATTTTTTTCCTTTGGTGAAGTTATCCTAAATAGCCTAAAAAATAGATTACCAAAATAAAAAAATTGTTATTTTCCACTTTTTTATTAACAATTGAGAACTA